TTAAGAACTACGTAGGTACAAAACAAAACAAACATTAATTTAAGCTTAGTCGAACTTAATTATCTTTTATATTATATGCTAGTGAAGAATGGTCATTTTATTCGATGTTTTAAACAAAACAAAAAAAACGGAAATTTAAAAAATCTGAAGGAAAAATTTACCAGTCTAATACAGAATACTGTTTTAAATAACAGGTAACGTACACACCTATTATTATGTTCATTCAGTGTCGATAATGACCTCAATAAGCATTTTATCGCCATTTAAATAATTAATTAAGTATCTCATATTATTCGGTTCGCAAATTAATTCTAAAATATTTTCAACACCAAAATACATTTATCGTCTAATAACCTAATAGTTTTATTACGAAAACAAGAATGCTGTGCTCTACAATATTCTTTATTGAATTAAGCACATATGACTGACCGTATCACGTATTCCATACGTTTACTACAAAAACATCACAATAACAACATAAAATCTATACTTATGCAATACTCTACTGCCACACCGTCTTACCACCGACCTGATAAAGCTGAAAAGGCAACTTAAGCCTATAAAAACCATGCACTAAACATGCGTAACAATCTAAAGTGTTATAAATAAATAAACTTCTCAGGCAATAAACTGTTTTATTGTAATGGCTGTAAAGATTGTTATTGCACATGTGTTCGGTGCGGTTACGACTCGTGATGCTGAATGAAAAGTGAGACAGAGAAAGCAGTAGTGGATCGAGTGAGACAGAAAGTATCCGCTTACCACGTGGCCGGTGTAATGCAATCATGAGCAATTCTTTTTTTTACTTTCATAATTTGGAATTTATATTTTTTTTTCTCGGTACGCGAACGGTTTGGGGCCTGCCATTTATCATCCACGCCGGTGCAGTAGGTGTCCATCGCGCGCCTAAAGCACGTGGCACATTCATTTATGACTTCTAAATTTAGAGAAACAAACATCTGCTTTAGACACCGTTGCACAAGAGAAATTTGCAGGTCGGCATGTATAGGAAACAGCGGGCTAAAACAATAATTACTTAAATCTACCATGTCCATTTCAAGGCGATGCTAACGAGTTGACTAATGCCATTAATCTGTACAGTTGAGGGTTCAAACTCAGTCCTCAAGGTGGGTGCCAGCATTAACGTTGTGATCTCTTTGAGCTCCGGTAATTACTGAACACTACCGCCCTGCTCTTTAGATATAAACGGGATATTGATTGCTCTACGGCGGAGACAATCGGCATGATAGAAAACCCTTATGTGCATACAGCACCCTCTTAAAAGCATTTCTGAAAAATTCAACATTCTTCTTGGAAGCAACACTTCTGTGTAGCCACCGCCACGTGACACCCATTCAAGATCATAGACCGTACCAGTAAGTATTGTAATGTGTGTGTTGAGATTAGTTTGCAAGTCCCAATGCTGCTCGAAGTCTAGAGTGAGTCGAGACTATGCTATGCTGCACATAATGTAGATCTACTAAGTCGGGAATGATAATTATTTAAGCCCTGACGCCGCTTGTTTGACATGGCAGTGTGCAATGAAGCAAGGCAGGGTGGTAGTGAGCTGCAGCGATACCATAAGGTAGTGAAGGCGTGTTGTTGGATCCGAAATCATGATTAGTCGGCTGTAATAAACTTGTTATGACTGCGATGGTTCCTGGCTGCAAGATGGCTGCTGTTACTGGCTTTTTAGTGCTCTGCAAATGCAAGAGTTGCGGAAATAGATGTTATATAGCTTAGATAGTGGAGTATAAAATCAGCAACTAGTGGGTCGCTTGTCGTTGTGGCGGGTAGCCATCATACAACGCAAGATAATTGACAGATGCCTGAATCTCGCTTACGACATTTTCAAGATAAAGCGCATATATACAAGTTCCGAACAACAACATTCGGACCGTCGGTCTACCGAGCAATATCATCCGCTCGGTGGAAGATCTTTCCTTTCGTCGTTTAAGCCTCCTACAAAACTGGTGACCTGCGACGTGATGTGAATCACGCAACCTTCTGATTCATCATCAGCGCATCAAGAACTTCGGCTACCACAATCCCCGCATTCTCGCAGATAAAAGCAAGTCATCGACAGTCGTCCCACAGCAAGCCAGCATCGCAGCCTCAACAGGACCATCGCAGCCGACTCACCGCGCTTCCTGGTCCTACGGCACGCACCTACACTGCCTCATCGCGCAGCATTCAAGCTCAGTCTCGACTCACCGCAGACTTCGAGCAGCACTGGCGACAATCACGCAGCATTCAAGCTCAGTTTCGACTCACCGCAAACTTCGAGCAGCACTGGCACTTGCAAGCTAATCTCAGCACGGACAACGATAACTAAAAATGACACGACCTCCAGTCTCGGAGGGGAGTGATGTGGCGGGTAGCCATCATACAACGCAAGATAATTGACAGATGCCTGAATCTCGCTTACGACATTTTCAAGATAAAGCGCATATATACAAGTTCCGAACAACAACATTCGGACCGTCGGTCTACCGAGCAATATCACCCGCTCGGTGGAAGATCTTCCTTTCGTCGTTAAGCCTTTCCAAATCGTTAGCTTATAAAAAAAGACAAAGGTAAGAATTCTGCATAACGAGTGTTTTCGGTTTACCTATAGCTGAAATTACAGATGTTGTTGTTTCGAAACTGATGTGTTTATGAATAATTACAATATTAACTCTGTACAGTACCATTATAATTCCTGTCCTATGAAAACTAATAATTTTCTCAAAATAATAGTCAAATTGTTTTTTTTAAATATCCTGTCTAATTACATAAATTTCATTTCAAAATTTGCTAGACTTTATACATCTTATGTGATTGTTAGAGTAAAATTGTATCATTGTGAAATTACTATATAAATGAAATAATCTTGACAAAAATGTTAAAATATCAAAGAGGGTGTCTAAAATTCAATAACATTAGATGAAAAGGAGGTGATGAGTGCATATTTCTACATAGTAAATTAATGGTTTGGGTGGCGGCATTTATTTGATCTACTTAGGTACACATGTATGTACCACCGCTGCCTACAGAAAACTAAATTTCTTTGGCGTTGCTTGTAAAAAAATAGTACTGCACAGATGAACTACCTCGACCCACCTGGCGCTAAGAAGCTACTGGCGTATATAGACATAATAGCGTGAATGCAGCTACGTATCTTGAAATACGATGTTGGATTTTTTAATTACAGCAGCTATTTTTCCATTCCAAGCGAAACTGGCAGATTAATGCTACACACCATTGTGAACTAACAACGATATACCCTCTTACCACCCGTAAGCACAAAACATATCATGACATTCTGAAAATATCACAAACCAATCTATCCAGAGCCCTAGTATTCCAGCCACAATTGGTAGAAAATATTAGATACACCAATTTTTTTTACAAACCACAAAAGTTTGTGAATTTACTTATTGATTGGTTGGACCTGCTTAAGAAATTAGAACTCCAGCACAGTCACATCTCTTGATACGTATGCACCAGGTGTCCTAACTTTTAAGCAACGAGGACTCAGTACAATATGCAAATGACATTTGCTTGTTGATGTCTAAGGTATAAGTAATCACTTAGCTCCGGGTAGCCTGTGACCTACCACCTACCTACTCTACGTTATTGAAAATGGGAAAACAATATATTTATATATATATTTATACGTATATACCTACATATAGTACAAATACATCTCTTGATACGTATGCACCAGGTGTCCTAACTTTTAAGCAACGATGACTCAGTACATATGCAAATGACATTTGCTTGTTGATGTCCAAGGTATAAGTAATCACTTAGCTCCGGGTAGCCTGTGACCTACCACCTACCTACTCTACGTTATTGAAAATGGGAAAACAATATATTTATATTTATATTTATACATATATACCTACATATAGTACAAATACAGGTTTTATTAATATTAATACTGCCTGAATTTTGTGCCGTTAATTCCACAGGCATTGTGAGTAATTAATTAAATGATAATATTCAGTGATTTTCCATATAATTGCATTGTTTGCATTATATGCTGCGTGTTGCATTATTTAATTGCGAGAATAAAAACTTAATCAATTGAATTTGTACGTAATGTTTGTAACATTTTTTTAAACTTACATAATTTAAAAAGAATATTTCCTTTTGGGCCATGTATGTACTGTTCTCCTTATTTTGTTAAAGTCGTTTGACTGACGGTGATTAATTACCATTAAATGGGCAACAAGTTCATTTATTTTTGGCAGAATTAAAAGTACATACTAACGAATAATTAGTAAATGAGCAGTACCTACATTTTAAATAGACAATAAGCTACAGCTTTTTCAAAAAAAATCTACTACTCAACGCCAAACTAATATTATTTATTATATTATCTTGTATTTTCTTTTGAGAATCGCAACCTTTCTTTATCAACAACCTTATTTCTTTATGAAAAACTAAAAATATTTTTTATGACTTCAAATAAAAATTATTTAGTTTTAAATTTGTCTATGATTCGAAACTAAATAAGATACCGTGTTTTTATTTGTGTTAATATAAAACCGGTATAGGCGGAATAAAAAAAAAAGATAAAAATTAAATCAATTACCTTTATATAAATTAAAGTGATTCCGCAATAATGCATAAAGCCGTTCAGTTTGACAACTGGAAGTGCCGGAATGGTTTGTGATTGGCGGTGAATGTTCTGCACCGGATCACTATTGGCGTAGACTACGTCAGCGCGGGGGAGCGCGGGGTCAGGCGCCATTACGAACAATGGCCGTCGAAATAGTCGTTAGCGAATAGCTTTTATCTCTTTCTAATATAAGCCACGCAGGTAGGAATTAATGAGACGGAGAGGGTTTCGGCGGGTACACCGCCTTCATCATTGCATCTCGCTCACACGCACGTGACCGGTTTTGCCGTCTCGAGTGGCGCGCTCGGCAGCGGTAAACGCTCGCTACGACGGGAATTCAGAGTCGTAGAGCCTCATACGCGGGTCATAAACGATCCGCGGCCATAGTAGAGGTGCACGCGCGAGAATCGATCCGAATCGCCGGCGATAAACGCATCTCCCGCGAGGCGATCGTCGCGCGCCGCGTCGCCGCCGAGCGATGAGTTCCAAGTTCATCATCGATAGCATGCTCCCAAAATACCACCAGCAATTCCACCACCAGAATTTATTTGCCGGTGCCGGAGCGTCGCCTATAGAGGCGTCGCTGTCGTCTTCGCTGTCATCGTCGCTGTCTACCTCGCTGTCTAGTTCGCTGTCTGGCGGACTGGGTGCGGCAGCGCTGGGAGCAGGCTCACCGGGTGCCGGGAGCCCGCAGAGGTCTTCATCTTCATCGTCGGCGTCGCCGGGGGCGCCGGCGAGAATGTATCCGTACGTGTCGCATCACCAGCAGTTCGGGGGCTCAGTGCCGTTCTCGGCGGGCGGGGGACTGTCAGCAGCAGATGACAAGAGTTGTCGATACCCGACCGCCGTGGGTCCTGATCCGATGGTGAATTACGCTCTGGGTCAGCACAATGGGGGCGCAGCCGTGTCTGCTGCGTCGGCGAGCATGGCGGCAGCGGCTCAGTTTTACCACCAGGCAGCAGCTTCAGCGGCCTCCGCAGCTAACGCAGCTACCGCGGACGCCATGGGGGTGGCCTGCGCTCAGCCCTCAGCACAGACGCTCCCTGAAATCCCCCGATACCCGTGGATGTCCATCACTGGTAAATGCTTTACTTCTTGACTGCATGTTCAGTTGCGGTGTTATCCTATTTATTTACCTAGAATTTTATTTCGCATATTATTTAATTAATTATTTACTTTTAACATAAAAATCGCTGAAGCACTGTTCGTTTCATTTTTAGCGTTTGTTATCATATTTATTTTTGAGTATCGCTTGTTTTCGATTCAAAAACGTTCAAATATTATTATTTGGTATTTTGCTTTTTACGACAGTTTTTCTAAGCAAATTAAACGTGTGAAATTATTACAATTAACATTAATGTGCCATAACCAACGTACCTACTCCAATTGTGAGAACGAAAAAACTTGGTTTAAGTGTACCCATGATGATATTTTATATTATTTATTTATTCATTTCGTATTTTTATCTTTCTAATAAGAATAAAAAAGTAATTGAACATTCAACAATTTTTATAATAAGATATAATAATATATAAAAACGATAAAAATGTTTAGGTACTATCAAAAAAATTCGCACCTGCTAACATATTTCAGGCCTGACGTTTACGGAAATTTAATTTAGAACAGATGACAAATGAACAATTATAATACAATTATAAAAAATCGTTTTATGGTTTTATGAAAAGGGCATTATTTCTTTTTAAATATGTGCTATTTCAGCTAAAATAACGTTGATTTAAACTAGACGGCGACGGCCGACGGATAGTAGAATTCTCTTGCAGAGTTGAAAAGAATCAATTAGGATTCCAAACGACAATGAATTAGTTATAAACATATTAATTAACAATAAAATAACAGCAATATATTGAATTGCATTAAAAAATATTAATAACAATAAAAATTAAATTCAATTGTTGCATAAACTTAATTTTCATTGCAATATAAAAACTGCAAAAGGAGGCCTTTGAATTAATAGCTAATAAAGTTTTGCGGCTCATTAATTACTATTGATGATTGAGTGATAAAATTTTAATTAAAAAACAATAAATAAATATTATCGGTAATCATAAAATAACTAATCGTTTTTTTTCTTTCAAATGATTAAGCAGTTATTGAAATGAAGGAATAATATTTACCATTAATTTCATTATAATTATTCTCGTTATAGTTAAATTATATCTGGTTTGTAACTAAAATTCAGTAAGTCGGTCTTCGTTTTTCTCCGGCATGGTATTCAAATATAATACATAATATGTACATGCCCAATGCCACTGAACCCATTATATGGAAATTATACGATATCAAGAGTAACATAGAAAAAACGTGAAAACGTGTTTTTATTTATCAAAATCGCAAAACGTTAACTTCTATCTAAATTGATCAGAGAATATTCAGAACGGTTATAATAACGACAGAGATGCTTTTTTTATTACACTTTGTTAATGCCTACGTATTTGCGGGCCTTCTGTGAGGTCCACTTAGTACTCCAAATGGCGACCCATTACATTCTCGAATTGCCTGTGCGTTTTGCATACAATGGTACAATTATTTTTATTTGCACTTTTATTATCTAGCAATCATTCTTCCGTAGATAAAAACGCACAATCAGTCGCGCTGTTAATACTAGAATACTGTTGCGTGTACTCTAAATATAATTTAAGAAACTTAATAATTATATAATTTAACTATAAAATAAATGTAAGATCCTCATTTATGTCCTTCTTTTCGGTTTTTGCTTCGATTATAGCTCCTTCTTTTAGTTCGAGATTCACACGAGAATGATTTTGTATTCAATCGAAAATGGTGTATCGAATGAAATTAGCAGGAGGTGATAGATTTAAACATTTTGCAACTCAATTTTCGTAATATATGTTCTGGTAAATAAAATAAAAACGTTTTCATTATAATTCAACAGGTGCTTAATATAATAAAACAGCAAAGTGTGTATATGAATAATGTTGTCCGTATCACGAATTAACATTAGCAGAAGGACGGAAAATATCATAGGTAGATAAATAGGTACATAGATGCTTGATGAATATTTTCGTGGTGAAATTAAATTCGATACTCTATGGTTTTGATAAAATTAGATTGCGGTAGCTAGAAATGGAACTTTGATGGAAAGACTGAATTGATATTAAGAAACAATTTGCTTAAGCATAAATTGGAAAATAACTTTGCAAGACCATCTAATTTACTTTAATGCGGGCAAATAAACACATTAACCTTTATAGACAAAGAAGTATCTGATTATCATCTACTTTTAAAAAAATAAATTATACAAAGTTTTTAGTATAAATAAGTCATTAATAAGATTAAGAGTTTCAAATAAGACTATGGAAACGATTAATACAAGTTGAGTTTCTTAAAAATCATGCCGTATTAGTATAATTAGAATGTTTCTAATGGCGTTCACATTCAAATGTTTTTTTCTAAGTCATAATTTATATAACTGCTTTAATTACGTAATGTATTTCTGTCGATACTGTCAAGAAAACACCTCTTTGTTGTCAGTTTTTATTTATTTATTTGAGAAATGAACCGATCGATACATCGATCGATATCTTAAACATAAGGCTCAGTAGCTTATCAGATGTCCATTAGGCGAGTAAAACTTAATTAACGAATAACTATATATAAAATCCACTGACTACTCACAAGTTAAAAAAAATCTCTCTGAAAAACATTGACTTCTAAATTCAGGGTTTGCTATTTTCGACTAATGTATTTTTTTGTAGAAAAAAAATAACGTCGAGACGAAATCGTTTATTGCGTAAAATCATCGCTTTATATCGGATTGTTAGCGGATAAATCAAACCAACAGTCCTGATATAACATTATAGTCTTAATATTTAACAATATTCGTTTTCACAGTAATTTATAAAGCACTTTCTCACACAGCTTTGAGCTTCTGAAGCGATTCGAGACCTTTTTTTTGTCATGCAGAAGCTATAATGTATTCGGATTTGTTGTGTAAATTAGAAATAAAAATAAAATTAATTATTATTAAAATCGTAATTTAGTTAAAATGTTCAATCATTGTAGTATATGCCTAGTTTTTAAATTACATAAAAACAAATGTAGCTCCAAATGTCAAGGTGGGGATAATTCAGCATTCATTAATTTTAGATGTATTCAAAATGCTGGTAATTTCAAATGATCAGAGGCAAGCATATATTTATTATATATGATCGAGAAAAAAAACGCATAAAATTGTTTTTATGAAAATATCTACAAAGACACGCGTTAAGAACTGTCAACCCTGTTGGCACATATTTACAGCTAGAGCGGATGACACGCTGCAAAGAACATAGTTTCAAAGCCAACTCGCCGTCAAAAACGCGTTGTAGATCACTAAAATTACATAAAACGGCCTATAATCGTTTTTTGTTGTTTGGGAATGGCCTATTTTCGTGATTTAGCGCCGATGCTGGCTTGTAAAAATGTCCGGGGCGATGGAGCCGAGGATCTGTCTTGAAGTGGCCGAAAATAACGCGGCCACTACGGAGCCAGGTGGAGCGGCGCGTACTCCAAATTATTTTACAGAGTTGTCAGCGCACAGACAGTCGTTCGCCGTAATCGCTAAATTGTGGTGTCGTTTAAAATTTTCATATGAATGAAACGGAATGCAGTAATGGATTTCTTTATGACGAGTAAATTTCATATCGTAGTGTTTAGACTTTTGGTCGACTCAAAAGCGGCATTTATCTTCACATTAAATAATGAAGAGTGTATTGAATCTGAAAAATAATCTTTTGAATTAATTTTGAAGTCGTAAATCAAAAACGAAACGTATGTGAGTTAATTGCGTTAATAAAAAAGGTAATTACAATTCAAAGACAATAAAAACATTATTGATAAAATAACTCGATTATTTTCAAGCGTCATTATCCTGGTCACACCGTCACACAAACATAGAGTGCGGCGGGAAGATGAGCACCAGTCACATGTGAGCGTCCTAACGAACGCATGCGCGGATCAAATATGGCCGTCAGTCGTAGCCAATCGCAGGGCGCCGTGTGCAAACGGAACCCACATGCCATCAAAAGCCCTTAACACTATTGATTGCTATTTGCAGCGCACAATTAATTAAACTATCCATTAAATTTATCTCGTACGTTGTGTATCACACTTGTGATAGTACTGTATTTAAGATCAACTATCGTTAATAGCGCATTTGGAGAGTCCTACCTATAAACGGTTAATACAACACCCACAACAATGCAATTAATGTATTAATTACATAGACAGACATTTTAGTCGCTGCATTGCAATTAATTTTATACTGTAATAGTACGCATAAGTGATATTTTTTATTTATTACATGGGTGTGTGTATAAGCAAATCTGCCTTTTAAAATTTGCTATAAGAGTATAATTATAATAATAATAATAGCCTTTATTCAGACAGATTTTCATTTATATATCTTAATTTTCTTTTTGTTAACAATTTTATTTTTATATACTTTATATATTAAAGTCTTAACTCTATTCTTAACTATTTAGCATCGGTAGCCCCGTCTGTATGTCATTTATTGACAAAGGCCTCCTCCAACCTTCTGAATTTCTCTCTGTCTTTGGCAGTTCTTGTCCATAAACCTCCGTACGAGTATAAGTACTTACATAAATTATTCAGTGCGTTATAATACTTTTTACCTTTCCATATCCCACGAATCAGCTCGCTGAGTTTCTCGCCGGATCTTCTCAGCGGGTCGCGATTCCGATCCGGTAGTAGATTCATTCGCGAAGCAGCTACTCTTGAGCTGTTAGGTCTCCTTCGGAGGCGCTCGGGTAGCTGTTAGCAAATCCCACGCCTCCTGGCTGAGCCTTTGCTCGCCCACCTGTCCTGGTGAAACTGGAAAGGCCTCCGGGCCACCAGTAATCCTTCAATCATAAAAAAAAAACCTTTCCATTTAAAAAATAAAACCGTCCTATATTTTGTCACGATTCCAATTTGTACGAATTGTAACGGAAACTTTATTTTATTTTCATTATAATCGCGTTCTTTTCGCTTAATTAAACCAATCGTTCACGACGAAATTAATGTTTCCGATCAAAAGAACTCGATCGTTTTATTTCACGTAATGCCAGTTCTTAATTAGCACCTATTAAAATATGTTACGTCGAATTTGACAATGAATTATATTACATTGTTTATTAATTTTATTAATCCACAAAACGATTCAAAAGAAATAAAGCGTTAAAAACTACTACGTTTCACATACATACATCGTAAAACCAGATCTAATTGATTGAAAGCAATTAAAAATGTTTTTACTCGTAAAATCGTCTATAGAACAACGATAAAAGGTAATTAATAGGCAATTGTTACCATAATTGTTCGCCTATTTACATCTGTAGAAATCTTCAACTCTATAGCTTCTTTATTCGTTTTTAATTGCAATCTTTTTTTAGATACAACTGTTGATATTATGAAAAAAAAAAAAACAAGCAGCAACTTTTTTGACTACCCACCTTTACATTTACTGTTTCCGTTCCGTATTTTAATTTGTGTTTCTCAGATAATAATAAAAATACTACCTTTTTGTTGCATTTAAATTTCCAAGCTAGATTTATTAATTGAACTCACAAACATTATAAAATATGTGGTCGATTTATTTATTAACTTGTTTCTTTGCTCTTTTTAAATTCATCGAAGACCAAAGTCATCTAATGATAAATTATTACAGAATGAACGTTCGTAGATTGCTTAAAGGTTTTTTTTTCTAAAAAGCCAATAATAACTATGAGTGCATCTATATTTTTTAAATCAATGTATATAGAATTCGAGCTTCATCTAAAATTGTAAAATTACTTTTACGGCTTAATTTCGAGTTGGTTATTTTCATTAGAGGCCATTTAGAATTGCAATAAAAATACCCAAACTTTAATAAGGAAGGTGATTGGTGTTTATCAAACATCTGGTATTTTTTCATTGTGACGATGAAAATACAAGTCCTCACAAAATGCTAGATCTCAAGATACTACTAGTTCATAATGTGTGATAAAAAAAATATCATTATTTTTTTTTTAAATCGGCGTTATATTATTATCTCCAGGAATGATACCTTAGTATTCCGTTACCACGAAAGCTGTACAGTATTCGAGACGTCGGATATAATTAAATGAAAGTAGTAAAAGCGAGATTAAGCCGTATAGTTGTTTATATCAACAAAAAAAAACTAAAACTGCGAGTCTTAAACATAATTAAAATATGTTTTAGACACACGAAAATCGAAGGAAACTCCTGTACTAAAATTATCATAATCGAACACCTAATTTTTATTATTTAACACCACACATACAAATATTTACATCTTTTGACAGTAGTAGTAGCATAGTTTTCATTATGACTTTTTCATCCTATGTTCTATATCCTATACCTTTTGAATACGTAAATTAATCCGTAACTAGTGGGGTAAAAGCCACAGTAAAGTCCCTAAAATATTTACTTCTCTTAATGGGTATGCATAAATTTTTGTCTTTTTACATAAATATAGTGAACTATGTGTTCGCATTGTGGTACTTACTAATTGCTTTGCTTCTTCTGGTGTTAGATTGCTTTTTAAATAGATAAATACATTTTTTTCGTTATTCCTAATTTGAAAAACTTTGCATTGGCAACTCTTAAATAAAACCAACACTTAGTATATCTATACCAAATCAACATCAAAACCAAATGTAATTTTATTTTCGATTTGCAGAAAATATTTTAAGTCAACGCTGTTTTTTTGGTTGTAGAAAGTTGCCTTAAGATTGTAAATTATGGCTCGCCTGTATCCGGCTTTATCTGTTGTGCATGCTATCCTACCAGTATAAAGGACTTTCAATACGATTGATAATAGATTTTCCATTTCCAGATTGGATGAACCCCTTCGACCGCGTGGTCTGCGGTGAGTTCAATGGTATTTATCGTTTCAAATTTATTTTTCTTTAGTTTTTAAATACAAATATTTTGTTTAGATTCTAGTTGACTATGAAACACTGCGATTTGAAGAGTGATTAATATCGAAAATTGTTATTATCATTTGTTATATTTTTTTTGTTTGGTTTTGTACTGTCAATATGTAATTCTATTCATTTGTGTATATTGGAAATCGCACGTGTACATAATCATCTAAACGTTCCATTTAAAAAAGATAAAGCCTTCCGTACGATTTTGTTGCAATTAATTATTTGATATAGCTTTTTCGAAATAAGTGGCTACCTTTTTTAATTGGATGCCAAAATGTATTTTTATTCCATATTTTATGTTGAAATTTACCTACAAATACTACTGTAGGAAATAATCACTATGGTCTTTTAACCATTTGCCAACTATGGTATACCTACATGATTTCTAAATATATAAAAAATAAAATAATAAAAATCCATTTATTTTTTGTCTTTTAAATGCTAGTGACTTTTGATGTCACATATAAATATTTGATTTTACTATGGAATATTAACATATTTCGGGTGTTTTTATTTGATAGGCTTAGTGTAATTTTACGACTTTGTGTCCACTTTTGTTTGTAGTGTCTGCATCATATATCACTAGTGTTTTTTAGGAAGCTCGGATATTCTGTGCGAATTCTTTAAGAGAAACGCGTTATTGTTTTGTGTCAGAAAGTAATAGAAGGGGTTTAAAATGTATAGAATACAAACTTTCTCCACAGACAAAGGACGATTGTAGGTCAGAGCAACGCAAACCATCATTAAGGTAAAAAGTTTTGCGCAAACTTTACAATTTTATTGCGCGCAAGACTCACTCACTACCTGCAACATTTCTGGAGAAGCATCGTTCTATTTTTATCTGTTAAGTGATGAATAGTTGAGTAAAAATTTCAGTATTTTTAAAGAAAGTTTATTTTCTTTCAATAAACTCATGAAAAAACAAATTTCTACCAAAGTATTACATTTTAATCCAATAAAATAATTGGTACTGTAAATTCGCTTCGTAAGCTTTCGACATATAATTTTTCAGTAAAAAATAAACCTACTGTAATTAAATTTTATTGAACGTTCAAATGTTTCATATAAATACTGTGAGATGCTCTAAATACTTTCCAAACGGATATCAATATTTCAGGTGTTACCTCCAATATATTTCATTTATTATAGCAATGGAAATAGTCGTATTTTTGTGGGATTCAATTTTAATAAAATAAATATCATCGGTGTACGTTCCTTTACGAATATTTTAACAAATCAATTACTTACAAAATCATTCAATCTTGGAGCACTTGGAAGAACAAAACAAAAAGTGTAACTTTCACCGGACTTGCGAAATAACAATAACCAAACAAAAGGGTTCACGGCAATGGGGTTGTGCAATTTTTTTTCTTCTAAAAACAGCAATCCTTTGTGCTTGGGTGATGTTTACAAATAAGGTGTAACTCAAAGGGTTTTAAATCAAGGCGTCGAAAGCTTTTAAAACAACCTTAGAAAGGGACCATTGTTTTGTTGGCATGCCGGCAAATTGCTTTATTACGATCAGTGTGATTGTTATTCGAAAATCGATATAGCCGAAATTGCAGTCAAAACATCGTTTGTTATCATATAGTGTGTTGAACACGAGAGAACTCCGGTTTCTAAATTTATTACACATGTGCCCATTCAGTAGCTCCTGCACGCTTCGAAGACTCGAATCTAATTAACAACATCTATTTTCTTCCATAAATCTATTGTAATAAGACTCATTTCAATCGAAATTGTTTTAATCGTACTACAAAAACACATTAAAACACAATTTTATCATCACTATAATAATATGATTCATTGAGAATCACGCTCGATGAGTGTGTTAAAAAAAAACACAAACGTCACAACAATTGTGTGTTAATCACTGTGAATGGTTAACCGTTATAAAATGATCAACACTAGTGCTTTAAAAAGTTCGTCCGCGAACAATAACTGTTGAGAATTGACCATAAACTGGCGACCTTGTGGTAATAAAAATTTAACGAGCAACGCCCGCGGCGTAGTATAGTACGAGCACATTGTCAGATTCGTGAACGTGACTGTCATAGAAACAGCTGGCCGGACATCTGCGGAGTGCCTTAGCGACAGACGAACGTTTCGAACCTCATTAAAAAGAAAGAGTTGAGAAAACTGACGCTTGATTTACGATAGTCTCTTCGTATTTTATTCCGTAAAACTAATTTATTTAGTCGCAAACGGTGATTTATAATACAAAAATATATATATTCTATACTGTTATTTCGTTGCGTTCGATTCAGCTGTGAATGGTTTTTTTTTATTATTTATAGGCGATCGATGATTATCATAAGAGTTCTATATGCGTATTTAAGGGCATTCAAAAATGATACAACTCATTTTTATGTATACTGAAACAGTCTCGTGGACATTTACGTATGTTTATAAGCGTCAAAGTGCTTTAGACGGAAATCAATTTCCATAATGGCGCGCCCGACCGACCGCCGTCGCGTCGCGCGTCGCTGGCCAACGCTGTTTTGTCAAGCTTTATGCACCTTATAAGTTACTGTACATGAAAACGACGAGACCTAACCTAACATAGCTGTCGTGTGATCCCGTGATTGCATATTCCCAAGTTATAATGTTGAAACTCGAAACACGAAATGTTGTTTTGCACAGAACATTGTAGTTTGTTTGTGTGCGTAGTTTTGCAACAAACACCTAAGAAATGAACATTGTATTATTGAATAATAAACAAATATACTGCGTATAAACGAAAGCTAAATAAAATATTATAATTGTAGTTGTATTCAAATATCAATGATAGATCATGTAGGTTTGTGTCTATATATTTTTTTCAAAGCTTAGTTTAGATATCAAAACAAAAATTGTTATTGCTAAATATAGAAAAATAGGTTGGCAGGAGGTCCGCTCGTGAGCCCGCACGGGTAGGTACTACCACCCCACCTATTTCTGCCGTGAAGCAGTAATGCGTTTCGGTTTGAAGGGTGGGGCAGCCGTTGTAGCTATACTGAGAACTTAGAACTTATATCTCAAGGTGGGTGGTGCATTTACGTTGTAGATGTCTATGGGCTTTTTTTTATCGCCCTTTTAGGCAGACGAGCACACGGCCCACCTGATGGTGAGTCGTTACCGTCACCCATAGACTTCAGAAATGCCAGGGGCAGAGCCAAGCCGCTGCCTACAAGCTGCTCCAGTAACCACTTAACACCGGATGGGCTGTGGGCTCGTCCACCCATATAAGCAAAAAAAAAAAAGTTGCAACCGCATGAACGGCTTCTATAAATAATTACCTTAAATTCGGCAGTTATGTAACTCGTTTGTCGGTTAAGGTTTCTACAGATGTGCTTAATTGAATGTCAGTGTCATTTTCATTCGCACGCCGTCTGTGGGCGCACTATCTCTTGCTTATTCATTACGCCCGGCGCACAAGACAATTGAGTACACGCATGTCCGCCAGCATTATGCCATCCAAGGTTCTATTTGTTGTCGCTGTTTCGCTGGTTACGTAACGCTCTATTTTTAGTCGAACTTCAAAACTATAGTAAAGTTTGTTGACCTTTTTTGTGACGATTAAACTCTAACGTTATTAATCTTGACCTCGCAGTTGTTATAAGCGATTAGGTTATATCACTAATAGGGCAATACATTTGACTGGTATAAAGAAAAATAATTGGTTTCATTAAAGCTCAAATGTACTTTTACTAGATCGAATAGATATTTTTAATCAATTGACTGGAAATGAGCGCGCAAAAAATCTTTAAAATATTCAAGATACGAATATCTGAATCAGAAAAGAAATTAATTAGATCGATCCAGATTTATAACATCCGATACCAGCGCGAATCCATTTAATACTGAAAATATGCTTTACGTAATCAAGCTATTTTTTTTATTGCCCTCTATGAATGAAACTTGTTTTTGAAGTACAAACATCACAGAGGCTACGTTACGAGCCTCACATTTATAAAACTGCTTCTGGGAAAACACGGTATATAGTTTTTGTTTAATATCACAGCCACGTTATTAAATATTCGTAGAATTTTAGTCATAGAAAAGCTTTTGGATTTCAATATTGTGGTATGCTTTAATGAACATACATAAGTAATTTCGTTATATTATGTATATATTGAAAGGTCAGATGGCCACAGTATTGTTGTTTGTTAGTATTTATAGCCGAATAAAAGACTGCAAAAATTATATTAAGAGTGAGTTAATAAGCATTGATATTGTTGAATTAACCGGTGTTCGAATCCCGCAGGCGGGTACCAATTTTTTTAATGAAATACGTACTTAGCAAATGTTCACGATAGACTTCCACGCTGAAGGAATAACATTCTGTAATAAAATCAAGTCCGCAAAATTATAATTTGCGTAATTACTGGTTGTAGGACATCTTGTGGGTCCGCACGGGTAGGTACCACCACCCTGCCTATTTCTGCCGTGAAGCAGTAATGCGTTTCGGTTTAAAAGGTGAGGTAGCCGTTGTAACTATTCTGAGACCTTATAACTCATATCTCATGGTGGGTGGCGGCATTTACATTGTAGGTGTATATGGGTTCCAGTAACTACTTAACACTAGGTGGGATATGAGCTCGTCCATCCATCTAAGCCATAAAAAAAACCATAGTAGGGTTATATACCATTCTACTGCTGCTGGGTAGATGAGCTAGCAGCTCGCCTAATGCTAAGTGATTACTGAAAATCATTGATATCACAACGTCAATTATGCCACCTACTTGATACATGATATAGAAATCTCAACCTGATTGTATAATTCACATCTCCACGCGCATTCTGATCTCAAAATTATTGTATCAAAGGTATTCGATTTTCTATTTTAATTTTAAACATAACTTTTATTGATTATATTGATTAACTTATATTGTTGAAGCTTAAAAAGAAAGCATTAAACATAATCTATAGCTGCTAATCATAACTAAAGAACTAATAAAAAATAAGCACC